AAAGTGCCATCAGCTTTTATTTTGAAAAACCTATTAACAGTCTTCTCCAGTATCAAATGTCAAGCCGCTTAAAGTCATTTCTCAAATTGGTCATCTAATAGCACGCAGGCTGGGCTTCTTCCTGGCCATCAGCCAGGTGTTGGGTGCCATGTGGGCGGAACCCAAATGTAAAGAGAGTGACACGTTTGTACGAGCGTTTTTTTTGGTGGAGTAACTTAAAGATTCAGGGGAGAGGCAGATGGGAATACTCTTCACTGATCTCAAACCCTGCAGACGCACAAGTCTCCTTCAGTTTCTTATTAGTTTTCTAAAAGCATTTCATGACAAAAGACAGGAAGGAGCAGAGTTTGTGACTATTACATCTTGAATGAGCAAGTCATACTCATGCGGACGGCCAGGCAAGTTCACAGAGCCACAGGTAGATGATCTGTTATTTACTGGACCATGAGGCAAAAAAATTATTCAGAAAACAGGATATTAAAGTATTGACTTCAGCAATCCCTAAACTGCAGGAGGCTGCTTTTTTCTCCCATCAGCTGTGAAGATGATGCAGAATCCTAACACACTTCCTCGGTGCTGTACCAAATCCCTGGCCTACAAATGAAGCTGCACAGCAGAGAAAATCTTCATGACAATAAAACTGCAGATTTTCCTGCGATGGCGAGAGAATTAAAGTGGGGAAAAAGCGTCACCCCAACAAAACCATTAAATATGCATCTTCCTCTAGATTAGGCAGCACTAACTGATATTACTAAAACACACAAGCATACAGCTAAATATTGGTTAATTTCGGTGGCAGATGGCGAGCCTGTCAAACCTACTGGGCACTTTGGCAAGAACCCAGCATGAATGCTCATGTTGTAATTTCCAAACCTGGACAGAAACACACAATTCAGAAATCTCCACTTGGCTGCTGTAAGTCTAAATACACATGCCCCTATTGCCACATGTGATTCAGATTGTCAGACCAGCTGCACTGTAGAGCTGTTCTGCAGCTAAGGATTATTTTCATTATCAACCTGACAATTACTTTTTCAATCAACGGTTTAGTCTATTAAATGTCATCACAGTTTCTCACATCATAAGGGGACATCTACAAAACAGCTTTGTCAACAAGCAGTTTAAAATGCAAGGATGTTCAGTTTACAGTGATTAAAAGAGAGAAAAGCAGTAAACCATCTCAGTGGAGTAGTGATACGTCTGATCAGTTAATAAGAGGTGGGTTTTTTCCTGCCCCCTTCCATATTGCTGCTGTGGCCACTTACGGCTCTTCTGCTGCTGAAAAGTCACAGCCTCTGTCAGCACGTCCACTTGCCCCCCTCTCTCACATGAAGTGCACTGCTCCTGGCTACTCCTATATTGTTTGAGTCAGACCAAAACAAAAAACCAAGGCAGGACCATTAATGGCCTCGCAGTATGTTGAGGTTGACAGAGCGTAACACCCGAGCGATTCGCAGCGATCCACACATCCGTCCAAAGGCGTCCCCCTTTTTCCATTCACCTTGCAAACAATCGACTGCAGGATCCTGGCTCTCCATCCATATAACAATCACTAATCTCTCTATACACATTGATAACACCATACTAATCTAATAACAGTCTCACAAACAAAAAACATATACTATACTATATATCTGTAACTCTGACTGATCACCAATACTTATTTTCAAATCAGAGGTTGCATTACTGCAAAATCCCTCCAGTGTTGACGTGTTGCATTCAGGTGTTACATATTATTCTTACTGTCTACAGATAGCTTTAGCTGGGATTAATGAGGTTTCTCCTGTTGTCACCACAAAAGGAGAAGACTGGAGACAAAATAAGACCAGCCTGTAGTAATAATCTCTGCACAGAAGATCACTTTCCAGTGCTCATTCTAGCAGACCTCCTCCTGTGCAAACATACTCATTTGGCAGTAATATTTCAGTAGAAAATTGTTCCCAATAAGGATGGCTGGCATGAGGGTCTGGGCTTTTTTTTCTACAAACCAAATGACATAAAACTTCACTGTATTGGACTGGCAACCTCAGCAGTGGACGTCACATCTTAAAACCTCCCCCAGAGGAACTGAAACTATCTGTGCAGCTGGATGGCACAAGAAGCAAGTGGGAAAATATATTTGTTTTGTCTAAAGTGTGCCTGCCAGAGTTCGTCAGCCCCATAAGTGTCCAGTAAAACCAGTCTTAACCCATAACCCATCTGCTGCATCGTGTTAAATGACTACTATAGAGGAGAAAAACTTCCAAATGACCACCTTCAGACAAAGCCATAAAGTCAAGCAGACGAGAAGCACAACGTGACGGAGGGAAAGATTTTAAAATGCCAACAGTCAGAGAAAATGTTTTCTTGGTTGTAAACTTGACTTCGAGAAGCTTGACAGGAGAGAGGGCAAGTATGAGACAGAATGACTGATTGTCTATTTGAGCTGTAAGAAGAAACTGTCCTATAATCATTGATATACTCTATATTCTGAAATTACAATAATATAAATAATAAAAAGAAATCAGGACGTGATAAGTAAAGTGAAGCTCTACCAGAGCCACTGGATCCTTGTGACTTACAATTTTTCCAAAAACAAACATCCATAGCACAAAATCATAAAGCTACAAAATAGTTCAATACAGTGAAACAGCGAGTCATTTACCCATATATTTTCAGGCATTTTGAATAATGGTCAACATCTCAATAATTCACTTGAACAGCTGGATTAATCCATGGCAAATCGAATAATAATCTTTTTTCTTTCTCAAAAGCTTTTATAAGACTGATAAGAGGCTGAACTTGAGAACAGAGCCCCGGTTCTCTGGGGGTTTCTGTGGCCAAATACAGGTGGTGAAATCATTAGGAGTCTGCCTCTGTTCCTGAGGGGTCTCTTCAAATGCTAGCACACCTCATTTTCCAGGGCCTGTTGGGACCCTGGTACTCTGGAGCACACAGTGATGATTTTCAGATCAGCTGAGGCAGCAACAAAACAAAAAGCAACTGGAACACATTTATATAAGCTGCTATAAGCAGACAAAAAAAAAAAAAAAAGTATATCACATCACATGAATGTTTATGTGAGGTTAAAAGCACCGGGAGCATGCTTGTGACTTTACATTTGCATAAAACTAATTTCAAGAGATCTCTAAAGTATTATTCTCCCTCTTCAAAAACTTAAGTTGTCATCACAGGGACATCTGAGTGGCTTCTTCTTTTATCTCACTTTAACAAGCCCCTTTGGTCCAGAGTTACATTCAATGAAACATGTACCGGTATATTTTGTATATTTTATTTCACTCTAACTATTTTAATAAAGCTATATTTATTTATTCATTTTTAATATTAAAGGCTCAATTCAATAACACCCATGTCTTCCAAGGATGCAAGCTTCGGCTGCAATCTGCAAATACACAGGAAGTAGATCACAAAGCTGAAAATTGCCAATAAAATGAGTCAGATTCTGCTTATTTAATATTGAGAGGAAAAGATCAAGAGAAAAAAAACAAAACTCAGCACCCAAAAGGGCCCAAAAAAAATTCAGCCAAGTCACGTTTTGCTCTTCTGTGTCACCGGACAATAATAATTGCGTTATTTCAAGCAGGCTGCATCCAAAGCTCTGGGAGGCTTTCAGGATGGAAAAATGAAAAAAAAAAAAAGCACCACAAGGGACGAGGAGGCAACACTCAATGGTCCCCACTGTGAAACTGTTTGAGAAATTGCTTTTAACACCTTGCCCAGCACTCAGTAAAACTAATGACCTCCCTGGCCAGCATGGAGGAGACCTTTCCTATTAAATTATCCTTTCCACCTCCTGTTTGGCATTTTGTGCATTTTATTTCAGCCATAAGTCTTTGGTTGCCCCTCAAAATAATACACAGTTCATGCATGTATGAGTCAAGCTAAAAAAAAAAAAAACCTGATGCTGCTTATGTAATTATAAGTTAAATAACTATACTATTTTTGAATCCCTCAGTGTGTAGGTAGTGCACGGCTTAAAAATAAACAGAGGCTCTGAAAACCCTCCAAGCCAAGACATCCAAAGTGCAATTAATCACAATATGTAAAAAACGCATTTTTACTTATGTGCTAAGTAATGTTGTTCAACAGTTCAATTTGACAGATCAGAGATAAACAATCTCAATTAAATTAAACAAACACTTAGGGAGTTTGGGTTAACATTTTGATAGAGCATCATAAAATTAAAAATATGCAGATTTTAAAGTACAAAATAGGTTTCCATAACTGATTTGCTGCCTTACAGTAAGTTATTAAAAATGTATTAAATGTCAATGAGGTAGACTTCCCTTTAAAGTATGTGGGGTCAGTTAGAAATAATATTTGGTAAGAGGTCATGAAACTCATCGAGCACAGTGGATTCCAAATAGCACGAGACACTTAGAGGAGCCAAATATGCATTTGATTTAGGAAGGAACAAAAAGAGCAGACGATGGCTGGCTACCGGCCAAAGAGCCTGGACAAACTAAATGACAAATGTAAAAGCTGCAGCCAAATTTCACCAGTATTTGGCTCGCAGAGGGCAGTCATTTCCGAGCCTGTTTAAGCAGTCACTAAAGCTTTTCAAACAGCCAGCGTGTTCTAGCTCATCAAGTTCAACCGTGTCTGTCCGTGGGATGGTGCATCAACACTGGGGCCAAGGTGATAAAAATTTCTGTCGTACAAGAACTTAAACAATTACACCCAGCGGAGACACAAGGGCAAGCGTATTCAGGAGAGCCCCAGCTGCACCAGAAGATGAAGGAAAAAAAAAAGAGAACACCTGCGCTGACGTGTACCTAAAGGCTCAGAAGAACATGTCTCACTCTACAAACTCTGCCCCACCCCTGGGTGTCACAACAGACTGCTGAAGAAGTGGAGAGTTGCACCTGCCTTCATGGCCTCAAGCAAACATTCGTCTGTGATGGTAGGAACCAAAAATAAACCTGGTCATTTCTAACAATTAACAAACCTTGTTGCAAAGGTTTCTTCTCTGTATATTTATTATCAAATAAGTGACTTACCTATGTCTGTGCTCGTCATGTCCTCCCTGTCCATGTATGACCACCTGTCCAGAGGCATGCTTCCCCTCTTTGGGCGAGTCAATATGAGGGATGAGCACATCCTCCAAGCCCAGGTCAAAGCGCTTGTGCTTGGAATTGTCCGGGAGGAAGAAGAAGGCCCCAAAACATAAGGTGATGAAGGCACTGAGAATAAGGAGGAGGATGAACTTCTCGGAGAGCCTCAACGTAGCTCTGTGGTGCGGGAAGGAGGAGGCGCCCGGTGAAAGAGTGGGTATCCTGCGGCCCGACAGCGGCAGGAGAGCCGGTGTCGTCATGTTTTGACTGATGAAATTTAAAACTTAGCTCAGGGTAGGGGTCGGGGGGCAGGGTGGGGTGGGGTTTACAAGTGCCACAGGAGTTGTTGCAGCGGCATGCACCAGCTGGTTGACTTTATTATCTCATCCCTGCATTGGTAAGTCCAGAAACCAAAAAGGGCTGAGGTCCCTCAGTGAAGGAGTGACTGGTCAGCAGCAGAATGGTCATGACGATTCTGAAAGAAGAGACATCAGAGATAAAGAGTTAGCATTGAATTCAAAGTTGACGAGTTACCAATATTTCATTAAGATCTATTTACATTGTAGTTACCAGAGACTCGCCACCATTTAATACAAATACAAATACAGATCTTTTCCTCCCTTCATTTTAATCACCCTACATCCACACAGGCAGCACACAGAGCTGCTACCCTTTATAGTCTTTCCTTTAGTTGTCATCTCTCCACCTTAGCAGCACGTCCCTTGTAACCACTAGTATCATCTCGCCAAGCACTCTGACAAGCTTCTATAGAGCCAATTACGATCACACATACACGCTGACAACTCAAGAAGCCGGGGTGTCATATATCAAGTGATAACTGAAATATTAGAGCAAAACAAAACAATCCCCTCGCATGCTATGGTGAATTAAGCAACATGTCATCTCATAAATAAATACCTCACAATCTCTCCCAGTCACACACACACACACACACACACACAAAAAAAACACTTAATCCTTTGACCTAGAGAAACAAATGACAAACATATTTTCCAGAGGCTTAAGGTATCACGAGGCTGTGCAATATCGAAGACCAAACCATCACCAAACAACTGCCCTCTGTGCATACTCTGCCATCTCTGCCAGCACTAACACTGCAGGACGAAGCCAGCTTTCTGTGTTTGTTTCCTACGAGTGCCACATAGCTTGCAGGTATACATATCGGGATTAAATGATCTCAGAAATGACGGAGATGAAGAGCAAGCTCAGCCTACGTACAAAACACCCTCCTGCCATCGGAGTCGACCGGAATGACAATTCACAGTTGTGTGGAAACCTTTGGCAAGAGGGGCAGGACATGCAAGCTAAGTACGCTGCATCACTGTATGACATCTGAACTTGGAGCCCTTCAAGCAAATACCCATGTGGCTGTACTTCACTAGCCCGTAATCGCATATGTAGAAAGACATGGAGCAAATGTTTGGTACCACTCAGCAGCTGCTCCAAGTGCTTCTGCGAAGGATGGATGGAAATAAAAACGAGTAGCCCCTTTAAAGACTAGCCGGAAAAAAAACGGTCGTAATAACGACTGTATTCACGTATTAAATGTCTGAGATGATGTGTTTTAGTCAGTAGTTTTCCATCGGGTCTGTGTGTAGCTACGATGTCTCGGCGTCTCTACGCTGAATACCAAGTTCATTCTCTGGCAGTGCCAGTCTGTGTGAGCTGATTAGCCGATACAAAATGCTAGCTAACAAGCAAATGAGAGGCTAACTTATCCGGCTAACGATGGCTAGCAGGGGAAAAAAAACGAGCAACGGTAAATAAACAGCCAGGCAGCAGTCAGGAAGAGACGTGGATTTAAGAAAAATATTCCGACATACATGTTTGGGCTCGCTGACATTTTAGCTATCCCTTGATAAAGACTGAGCTGAGAAACCTGCAGCCTGCTGAGGTGCTAGCTATTAGGCTAGGTTGCTAACGCTAGCTAGCTGGTTATGAAGTGACAGAGGCGGTCTCTTGTGTGGACGCCGCTCTGCTGCTGCTGCTGCTGCTGCTGCTGCTGCTGCATCACCACCTTTCTCATTTGCACGGTGAAAATCGATGCCAGTCAAGATTCCCGGTCCGCCGTTTGGAAGAAGCCGCTGTAGCAGGTGTCCTCATGTCCACGAATGTTAACACCGCCGTACCCTGCTCCGGCTGAACCGTCCGCCGTCAGTTCAGAGCCACATAGCGTTACAGCTCCGAGGACGCTGAGAGGATGTTGATGACTGGCCGCTGTGTTGGACTGCAGCGACGGACTGACTGAACTGCTGCTGCTCGGTGATCCAGCATCAACTACTCAGCCTGCCGACTTAGGGACCGTCTGACAATTTCGTTTGGCAGAATTATAATGTGTAATATAACATATAAGTGTGGTGTGGGAACAACTGTAATAATCAGTGATAGCAATTTGTAATGCCTTAATGCAGCGGTACAATGCAAAATTTCCAGTTTTAGAAAACCAAATATGCCAAAATTTTACTTAAGTGAATATACTTAAATATTTTTTCACCACTGATCATTTCAATAAATTTGCTTACAAATAAAAAATACACAAGTATTAACAAGAAAATGCACTTTAAGTATCAAAAGTAAAAGCACCAATTATAGTATTACAGTGTGTATGTATACAATATTATATCAACAATTTTGATAATTATTACATTTTCAAGTAAAAATCCCAAATATTTGATGATTCTAACTAGATTTATGTTTTATTTTATTTTATTTAAGACAAAATAGTGCCCCCTGTAGCTCTAGAAGTGCACCCCACTGACACATTAGGTTTTGTTGAAGATATTATGCATGACAGGAGAATGGACCAGGGTCCATCCAGTTACACTGTGGGGGAATAAAACATGGCTATAGCCTACAATTTTACTGTCATAAATAATTTGGAAATGATGTTTTGGAAAAGAGGGTGTCTGATGTCTTGAGATCAGATGGGGTCCAAAGCGAGATGGATGATCATCATCAAGGTGTGTGTCAACCCCAAAAATGATGCACACCGCCCTCCATACTTTCACTTACAAATATTTGACTTGTATTGACATCATCCGTGCCCTTGGAAGACAAAATCCTTCTGCCAGGAGTTTTTAACATTCAATCACTGGTGTTTTAGATATTGTGTATGATATATAGCACATCTGAGCAGACAAACAGAAAAGACCAGATTCATAATCTTAACCATTTCATCCTGGAGGGCCACAATTTGGATCATGTGTGGGGAGGGACCGTGGGGGCCCAGTGTCAGATTTCATTAATGAGGCTCACATTTAGCTCTCACAACCCTGCAAATATCTGCAACTTTTTATTTGCACAGATTTTCTGTAAACTGCAAATCACTCAGTTGTAAAGAGCAAAACTGGACAGCATAAAATGTCAAGGTCTTTGTTTCCATCATTAGGCTAATAAGTGTCTCTCAGCACTTACGAACTTAAAGAGATTTTATGGCCCAACAAAGAACAAAATGTCTTCTGGTTCTTTCCTCAATATTCTGAACTCAAAGATCAACTTCATTGTGCAGACACTAAACTGTTAAAGATGTTGCTATTAAACATTAGAGAACTGAGAGCAGGATTGCTATTATATTACTGTAAAATCTACTCAAAGCTGTCGTTTTCTATAATGATGAAAGAGTAGCAGTTTATTACTGTTTATTTACACTTTTTTCACAGGGGGTATATTTGCAGATTTTGACTGTAAACTGCAGTACATATATAATACTTGCTATTATAAGCTATTGATTAATGACCTGCTAGCAAAAAGGACTACAGTGATTAATTTTTTCATAAACTAAATCCTTGGCAGTGTTGCTATAAAACTCTATGTTTTAGTACACTGAATAAACATGGTGTTTGAAATTGCAACTTAAAATGTTGAGGCAAATAATACGGCTTCAGAGTGTCTTTTCAAAACATGTTTCTCTTTATTAAACTTGTGAAAAACTGTGAAAAGCTTTTGTTGAAAAAAAAAAAAAAGCCTGTGTTACAAGCTGGAGGTGTGGAATTGGAAAAATGTATGCAATTACCAGGCAGGGAGGCTCTAATGAAAAGATGCTATCAAGTTGCATTGTGGGAAATGTAGGCTCAAGTGTTTTAAATCCCTACTAGTGCAATACTAAATCATTGTAGTAGTAAATTCTAATATTTCGGAATTCAATAAGTATAGGTACATGTCCAAGTCAAAACTGTGTCCGGTCATCTTTTTACGTAAAGAGACAGTTTTTTAAATAGAGCCTCAATAAATAATGTTCAGTGCAAAAAGGACAATCTCACTGTTAAAGTCAAGATACACAGAGAGTGAGGACTTCACCACTGAAGACTGAACCAACCAGCAGACACTGGCAAACCCTTAAACAAAAAAAAACAACAACACTCAGACAACTGACCGGGATGAGAAACATCAGAGAGAGAAATTCAGTTGATGTTTTACAGCAGCACGCTGCTCTATCGACTACACTGCCTGGATCTGTACATCATACATGGTCACCACACAAAACTGAATAACCCTATCAGATGTGCTCTCCTTTATCAAATGCAGGATGAGCTGTGTTGCCAGGAAGGACACAGTTTATCATATTAGTCCCCTGGCGTATGCCGAGAACTTTCCTTCCTTTTTTTAACCATGACAACGAGTGCTCTGTGTTTTTTTGTTTTTTTTCATCAGAGAGGCAACGCTGAATATGAGACAGGTGTCACTTTGCTTTCAGGAGCGTTTCTTCCACTCTCAGAGCAGTTTTCCCTTCGCCCTGGCCAAGAACACTCTCCCAGCCAAGAGCTCGCTCGGCTTTCTCCGCAAGTGAAGGGTGTAATTTGTTAGAAACCTCAGCGATGACACTTCTCCTGCTGCTGAATAGCTGGCTTTCCTGTGGTGTGACTTGGGGGAGGGCCACAAACCTGGTTGAACCAGAAACCGTTAAAGACTTGCCACAGACAAAGGTGACCATGATTTGTTCCACAGTCTTTTCGCTTCGGTAGAACAGAAGGAGAATACAAGGCAACCACATAAATATAAAAGCCACCATTTCAACATAAGTACATATTATTCAGAAACGGATGATTGAAAACATAGAGGGTGTGAAGGCCTTGAGCGGCAGTAAGTGGATGTGCAGAAGTACTGCTGTATCTCCGCAGTGACAGCCTTTGAATAGTTTTCAAAGGGAATACTTCTTTGATAAAAATTTTTAAAAAAGTCATTCTCGTGAAACCTTTTCACAGTGAGGTCTGTGGAGAGTCCAGAGAAAGATGGGACACTGTTTCTGGAAAGAGACGTTGCTGTTGAATCTTCAGTAGCAAGCCACACTAGTAGTGCACCTCTGGTATTGGCTCAACATGTGTTGCGTGGAGTCATGGATGGATGAATCTTATCGACTTTTTTCTCTTGCCACCATGAGGTCGACTTTTTTAGTTTTTAGTTTTTAGTTAAATGTCTTGACAACTATTGGATGGATCGCCATCACATTTCATACAGGTCCCCGTGGTTTCCTGAGCATCATTCATAAAAAGTGATCCCTGGCTTTCTAGCACCATCATCAGGTCAAATTTATACTATATACTAGATACCAGATACTATACTATCATATCCTAAACACCTGCAAATCTAATGACATCCCCATCAGCCTTTGCTCTGCTTTGCGTTTAGTGCTAATTAGCTAATGTTAACAAGTTCACTAAGACGGTGAACATGGTTCCTGCAGAGTATCATCAGCATATTAACATTGTCTTTGTGAGCATGTTAGCATGCAGACTTTAGCATTTAGCTCAAAGCACCATTGTGTCTCTGTTAGCGTGCTGTAGACTGTTTTTTTAATGCTTTAGGGATCATGAAGAGCATTTCTTTCATTTACTCAAATTCTTATTTACTCGTTTATTTTTTGTAATTTGTGTTAAGTTAATCAATTACATATTTACTAGTGCAGAGCTACATTCATCTTATGATAGCCTGTATATTTCCTTCTCTATCAATCAATCTCAGCAAATGAGACTACAGCTCATTGAAATACTCGGAGCCGCTCACTTCTCCAGCAGAGCTCTGCGTTTGAAAAGCAGGATTGTATTTCTTCTCCTTTTCTCTTTCACTGTGCCTGCTCCATATTGAAGTAGAGCTTAGCAGGCAGTTAGACTGCACTTTGATACTGTCAGCCCACATACCAAAGTGAGCTTTTCCCTGACAGGTAATCTATCCAGGTATATACTCCAGCCACAAAGACAGTCCCAACATTTTGCTGAGTGTGGAGACAGCCAGCCGCTGAGTCCATCAGCTGGTCCTTGAGCTGCTGCCGGCTGGGGCCTCGCTCTCCGCAGCAACAACAGGACCGTGGGGGTGTCTGATTTACAGGACACCCCTCAGTGAGTGAATTAGCGGCAGCGCTGCGGCGTGCAGAAGCCGTCGTCACCGCAGTGAGGACCTCCTTTGTGACAGGCATCACTGTGAGTCACCCAGTCATCACACACTGTCATCAGCAAGGAGGGCCGGTTGGGTTTGATGCCAGGGCCGGTGTGGGTGCAAGACAGACACACAGAAAAAAAAAACAAAAAAAAAAAAACAAAAGAGCTGAGCAGACACAAAAAGGCTGACAGCTTCCAAATCACAGCCAAGTTGCAGAGAAGGAGGATGTGTGGCGGTGAGAGGAGGAGGGTGTCCTTTGCTTCAATGCATCTTTGATTATCATTGTCAGGAGGGATGGATGGACTGGGAAGAATTTATCGCACATTTCACACACAAATAGAACAACGCTGCGGAGACAAAACACTCGTTCCATATTATTTTGTGGAAAGGATGAAGAATAAGCAGAAAAAAAAAACCACAATCAGAAAATGTTACGGGATCGGCCTTGGTATGACATTACATATCATAACCACGGCAAAACTCTGCCTTTCCTTCAGCTCACTGCTTGACAGAGTGAAATGGTGAATTGTGCATCGTGTGCCGGATCAGAGCGCCTGAGGGAACCCGCCTGTCAGGGCAAGGTCAACTGCAACCTCTGGCCCTGGTGGGCAGTGGCGTGGGGATGTGTCCGTAAAGGAAATGTGAAATGTGCAGAGGAGGGGTCCTACGACGAACTCTCGATTTTTGACATTACAGCTCATGGTGCGATACTGCACCTTCTCACAAGTGATCATGAGTCCCTGGAGAGAGTGTGGCATGATGGGTAGATAAACTCTGTCCACATAGATTTGCAGAGCATATCTTTTTTTTTTTTTATGCCATAGTGCAGGGACACCTATCTGACAAATGATACGGGAGGGTGGGGGTCCTATCTCTGTCACTGTGGCACAGATTTGAATTATTACAATTTTAGCATTAGTAGCTCTTCCATGGCCGCGAGGGGTTGTTTTGTTCTTGGTTGCTGCTTGTGTTTTGTCTCCCTTCAGGTCCTGGTTTGGCCGAGTTCGCATTAGTGGAACTGGGTGCACCTGGCCAGTCCATCCATAAGATCATCTGTCCCCAGTTTTCTCTCTCTCACTCCAGTGCTGGATCTCCCCCTTGCACCACATGGAGTACTTTTTATTTCATACAACATACAACACCACCCTTTCGTACATGCACTCGCTAACACCACTGACTTTCTGTTATGTAAATAAATGTGATTTGTTCTTTAACCGTTTGCATTTCCCTCCTTCTGTCACGGCCTAACAGCTGGGTCGTGACAGCATTATGTTTAATCATTTTAAATCACCCAAACTCAATGATTTCAATATTCTTTTTAGATTCTACTTAAGTGACAACATCACATTTCACAGTAGATTTCAAGGAAGCATTTTCACACTTTTTAGTGAGGTATTTGTCTTATTATATAAATATGAGTTTTAATATTTGTATGCCTGAACTATTGCAGTAAATGGAGAACTGTAGATGTGTTGTGCATCAAAACTGAATGTCCTTGTAATTCTTTACTAGAATAATTTTTAAAAAGTTCAGAAGTCTTTAAAAGTGATGATTAAAATCAAAAATTTGCTGGAGAGTTTTGTAAGTAGATCCCCAGACAGTCAGGGAACCGTCATATTAGCCATCGTTTGGTGAGAGCAGTTCATGTTTCACCTCTCAGTTGATAGCAGCCTCGTTTCACAATGACACTCCTGAAATGCCGTCTGTGCAGACCAGCGGAGAAACACAAACCCCAGAGTGGCTTTCAAACACTCATTTACCCTGAAATAGAAAAGGAGAAAAGAAAATTAAGACATAAGGCGGAGATTCAGGTGAGAAAACCAAAACATGTGCACAGTAAATCATAAAAGTAAAACATCAGAAATGCATATTGCATATATAACAATGAGCAGCTGGAGTGAAATGAATTCAAAAAGCTCTGACACAGAGACACAAGAAGCATTTTTACAACTCACTGCATCAATGGTTTTATGGTTTTTGAGGTTTATTTTGTTTCACAGTCACAGTGAAAATATTATTTAGGTATTTTTATGGTGCTATATTTTAGGTGTACTTGTGAAACACTTGTGTTGCCGTAGAAATAAAGTGTACTTGTACCATTTAAGACTCAAATAGATGAAAAAGATATAAGGGCATAAAACAGACAACCACACACATTAAAAATAACCATCATCCATATAAAATCCTCGTCATTATTAATAATCCATTTTCACACAACAGCGCCCTCACACCATCACTGTGACTGTAAGTGTCTTTTTATACCTTCAGGCACTTTCACAACATTCACTGAATTAACATGTCACCGTCACAATTTATCGCCATGGCCGCAGTGAAGGTTATTTCAGAGGCTGTATTTATTGGACAGGATTATATTGTTCAGTGGCCACGTATATGCAGCGATGTACTTTTCCTAAAGTGTGTTCCACTCTTGAACCATCCTTCATGGGCATCTGTTACTGATTTTATGTAGCTGTAATCTTGTTTTTTTAAAAAGATGGATGTGCAGTTTGTAAACCAAGGTCTTCACATTGTTCCATCAGCGTCCGTGGACTGGACCGCAGTAGCTAACAAACAAACAGGCTTTATTGGCTTTTACCAACTCCACTGTTTTCTAGCAGGAGCTGGTTAAGCTCCATTTAGAGCTCAGTGAGTATATTACTGTCATGAAAGTCGCCTAACCTCTTTGTGTGTAATCAGGTTACACAGTGTTCAACCTGAATGACCTGCAGCCTCTTAGCCTCTGTTGATATCACTCACACACACACACACACACACACACACACACACACACACACACACACACACACACACACACACACACACACACGGTTATTCTGAAGGAAGGCATGATTTTCTCTGATATAAACATTGATTCTTCTTTAGCATTTCTACGTCAGTGGGAGTTGCATGCTTTTATTTTGAAGAAAGCCTCTGTCAGAGCTGCATTTTATTTTACCGACCAATTTTTGTGTGTCAGAAGGATTTGTTTTTCTTGCATAACTTGTCCTGGAAACTATAGTCTGTGACTATATGAATTATTGACACCATACTAATCAAGATGAATTATTCACATCTTAACACACAGGGATTCTCCAACAGGGATTTATGTAAAAGTGAGTTCATATTGCCAGAGTTCCCAGAATGAATTTCACGTGACCTTCAATGCGAATGATTGTGTGTGTGTGTGTGTGTGTGTGTGCGCGTGTGCGTCCCGACTTGACAATGACAGAAGCCTGTGCTGTCTCTTGCAGCCTGGAGATAAAGTGTCTCTCAGAGAAGGATGTCAGGTGCTGTCACAACACTGGCTTTGAGGTAGCACGATGCTGTGGTAGGTTACCTGCATCTCCAGCAGCAACAGTTTATTTCTCTTTCTCTTAAAATATGCTGTGCCAGTTTTAAGGTGAAGTCATTCTTTTTAGACTTTATAATGAGAGGATGACCACACAACTGAATTTATCCTGTGTTTTGACCTGTGTCGGTCTTTTTCAAGGAGATATTTACACAAGTATCAGCTACAGCATTAAATAAACATAACACCACCAACCAGCAGATGTTGACAACACAAGATGGATGGAAAGTGAAGTGATGATGTGTCACACCTCAGTTTCCTACATCTTGCCAGAAATATTTCCCTAAAAGTTTCCCCGCTTTCCCAAAAAATGTTGAAGGAGCTTTTTGTAAATTCTGCTATTGCTACATGTTAGCAAAAACAGCTGTTTACTTACCAGCCGTTGTTGCATTTGCAAGACCAGAGGTGATAATAATACGCCCTCTGAGCAGCACTACTTCTTCAGAGCAGGCTGGACACTACTGTGACTCGGTATCGGAAAGTGATGTGACAGTCCGACCAGGCCAGGGCTAGCTGGTTAGCATGCTAACTTCAGTAGAAGAAAATAAGTGATAGAAATAGAAGCAAAACAAGAGGGTTGCTTCCCACCTCTGGAGGCAGCTGTTGGTGAGTAAGGGAATGAAGTTTGCTGCTGAACTTGCAACGTTTGTTCTAGACTGTAAGTAAACAGCTGTTAATGCTAACGTTGGCTATGTAGCAATAGCAAAACTTACAAATAGCTCCTTTATACCAAGAGTAAAAACTGTTGGGGACTCCTGTAACGTCTCCTTCACCTGCTTCAGCAAATCTTCCTCATTACGACTCCATCCGGTCCAGAGCTCTGCAGAGACAGAAATTAAATGTAAATCTCATGTTAAAACAGTTGTAACCTGTCACGTTTAGGATCAGTTTAGCTTCTGCTGCTCTTGCTCCTTAACTGTGGAACAACATTGCAAAGGCTCAGAGAAATAAAAATCTGTGCAAATGATTAAATGCCATCTGAAAACCTTCTTTTCATAGGCTTTTTTTGGATTTCATGACTTTAAATTTGGTTGGTTAATACCTCCTTGTTTTATTTATCTTGTCTTCTCTGTCTCTTTTTTGCTTCTGTTATAAAAAGGGCTATAAAATTGTTTGTTTGCTTGTTTGCCCACTTCTCAAACAGGAGACAAAAATGAATAAATAAAGGAGTTAATTACATCTCACATGGGGGAATATTAAATCAACAAAACATCCAGAAACCACATGCTTATATCATCAAGTTTTCATTACATCTAAATCCCCAACACTGTATGAATGTGAAAATGCTGTTTTGCATGTGATAAACCACATAAACCTTTGCAGTCTTTATAAATGTATGTAAACAAACATGCCCATATATGGTGTTTTTATAGATGGTCATAATTCATAACATGTAAAAATGTCCAAAAAAATGTATTCACGCATTATATTACACGTGTGATAAATTCTTATGTGCTTCATTATAAGGTGTTATGATTAGGATGATGATTATTATTATGGCCCCCCTTCCCTCTGGCTTCCTGTTTGAACGCTGGAAGCTAATTACAGGCTCCTCTACTGCTGAACCTTCTATAACTCTTCTCTGGAAAAGCGTGATAGGCAAACCATGAAAACATAAAAAAAAAAAAAAAAGAAAAGAAAAAGAAAGCACCAAATGTAAAAAGATTAAACATAAGAAAATATGTCTCTTGACTGCGAGACAATATTGTATCATGATCGTTGGTTCAAGGTACATTACTTGGGAGCTCAATGGAGGGTGAAGGAGGTTTATGAGGTCTGGCATAAGTCCTTCTCTCTGGGGTGCGCAGCAGCAGTTAGCATCCTGCCATTTGCAGAGCACTGTCATTGTTCAATGTGGTGTGTGTGTGTGTGTGTGTGTGTGTGTCAGTGGCTCAGATCCTACTGGACTGAAGCCACTGAAAGTAAAATAGGGAGGAACTGAAAGAAGTGGGAAATCAATAATAAAGGCAGGGTTTGAACCACTCCATCATCTTTAACCCACACCTGCCGTCACCTAATGGTAGCGCTTGTGTGTGTGTGTGTGAGTGTGTGAGTGTGTGTGTGTTTTCCCATACAGTGACCTCCAGTTTCCGGCTGTGAACCCCCCCCCCCCCCTCCAGCGTTGACTGCCATACGAATGGACGTCAGGCAATCGCTCATTTCCAATTTGCTGTAACTGAATTACTGTGTTTGATCAAGCAGTGTCACCACCACTGACATCGCTGATGGAACTTTCCTCTGTGACGGGTTTTAGTGGAACAGGTCCCCATTCATCAAACATTCATAGTAAGAGAGTCAATCTTTAACCGCTTAAGGCATTTTTCATGATAATGCAGTATTCATCAGGAGCCTCTTAGCGCGCGGTGGCTCTGGTAAAGACGGCTTTTGAGAACGCTGATTATGAATGATTTGTAAGAACAAGCACGGCAAACTTAATGTCACAGGCAGAGGGACATGATCATTAGTTCTGGAAGAGCAGGCAGGGGAGAGTGGCTGTCTCCTGCCACCTGCTGGTTCAATGAGGGATTCTCAAGCTCATTGAACTGTGAGAGTGTTCAAATATGCAGCTACTGAGGGCGAGATTACAGCTCTCTAGTGTTTTCTGCAAATCACTATAAATTAGTTCAGTTTAATTGCAACCAGGGATGTGGGAGAAAGCTTTTACAGTTTCAGTTTGATTTAAAATCTCTCCCCGATGTTTATATTTACATACATACATAAAAAATGTGAAACATTTGGCACATTTCTTTTTCTCAGTTAAAATATAATCACTTGCTAACACATGGAAACACAGGGTTAGCTATAATGGCTGGAGGACAAAGGTCATATTCATGTTATTAATTAGCTTCAATGTAAAAAAAATAACAAAAAACAAGGATTTATTTCCACTAAAATAGCAGCAAGATTTAATAAAAACTTCTTGTAAATTAGAAATGTATGAATTACCTTTTCCTCTGAGGCAGGTGTGTTGCTTGATTGTTCGTTTTCTCTCAGATTCCAGGACTCAGTGTGTTCAGTCGTGTTCATGAGGTGCTAACTATAAGACACAAGCTATTCAGAGGAACTAAAGAAAATTGTGAGTGAGAAAGAGTTGCTTTGTTGCCTTGTGGTTGGGTTATGGAGGGATGGTTACCTTTGTCACCTGCTGCACACGCAAAAATAATACTTAAAATGCTGTTGTATTATTATATGAGCGACTCAGAGCTGCACAGTTAAGCAAAATATAATCGAAAATCGCAATATGGTGAAGTGCAATATCCAAATCGCAGGAGCTTCGGTCTACAAATCATATTCTCCAGACGTAAAGGAACATGTTTGTTTAATACAAGACCCAACAAAAAAAAATCAGAATCAGAAATCGCATATCGCTATATCTGCCAAAATAATCTCAATATGATTTTGTTTTTTGCATATCGTGCAGCGATAGACGGTTCGCTGTTAATCCGCTTCTACCAAGGAATGGAGCAGAATTTTAAAACTGACACATACGAGACTTTATTTCATCGCACAGGCGAAAACTTCAACAGACAGACGAATGTACAGTCGGTGTGAAATGGGAGATATTATTAAAAACAAAATGCAGCAGAAACATAGGCGCAGTGTCATGGTGAAGATCTTGGACCACAAATGAAAGAGGTTAGTCTTCATGTTAAGGATTTGTACACGTCTGTTTGACAACGAGCAGATCTGAGCTAAAAAAAAAAAGAAATGACACATCTATTTGAACTCACACTCAAGATAAGGCACATTCAGAACACAGATACACACAGAGGCATTCACAGTCTCCTGAGCTTTTCTTTTTCTTTTAGGTTGGTGGTTATAAGTCAGTGGTTGTGTCACAGCCTCTGGAGAGGAGCAGCTTTGTATTCTGGGAGGAGGCTGACTGCACCTTCGAGCTCTCACTGTTTCCCAGATAAAGCCCTCTTCACTGGGGGGTGGGGGGGGGCGCACGGTGGAGCTGGCTTCTTAATAAAACTGCAGGAAACCCCAGTGTGTGCAGATTTTTAACAACAATGATAAAGCACTCAAGGTTAATATGTAAAAATCTTCATACACACACACACACACACACACATGCACGCACACACACACACACACACACACACCTGCAGCAGTAGGCAGCTGTTGTGGGCTGCACCTTCCCACCTTCACCGTAACCATGGAAATTAGAAGTGTTCACAGACACATTCCTTTACTTTAGTTAACAGTATATGGCACCACAGCACAGGCATCAATATAATCACTGCCTTGTACCTGTACTGTACCTGTAGTTAGCATAATGCAATCATATTATATCAGCTGCAGTAAATACTATCAATTTTGGTGGCTAATCATTTATTATTTGGTAATTATCACATACGCACATAGTTAATATGCAGCGACTGTTACAAAAAAATCAATTACCTGAAGTGAGGACGAAGAAATAAGGGAGTAATAATACTAATCTTATTATTAGGAAAATGACACTCAACCCATCATTTTCTCAGCATGTATCCATAACAACCAGTAAGTATGTCTACAAACATACAACCTCCAGTGAGGATCAGGAATCAGGAATCTCAGAATGAATCTGCAATCAGCTAAATATCGTTTGTTAATTACCAGTGATGACTTCAGATTTTTATATATTGGATTCGGAGTACTTAAAATAAAAACAATCACTCATCATGATGTAAATGCTGTCTAGTCTACAGGCTTGATAGTGTTGTCGGGATCACAGCCCAGAACAGAGATCAGTGTGGATTAATAAGAATTATTGTTCACTCCTCTCAGCGTCACTCTGTATCTCAAAAATATATTTTCTTTGACTTAAAGATGTAAAAAACACACAAGTATTAAAGTATAAAGAATAAACGGAGACGTATTTCTATAGCTGGGGTCAAATTGTAGAACAACACTAATTTAAAATCGGTAATTTGCTTTTGGTTTTCAAAGGAATGATGTGTAAAGCTATTTTTGAGGCTTACAAATGTGAATGATTTCCTTTTCTTTATTCATGGAACAATACAAATATGAATAAAAAAAAAAAGTAATATCCTTTCAGTTTTTAAAAGATTGGTTTAGAGAGTTTTTTTGAGGGTTAGATGTGTGAATAAATTTCTTTTCTATTGGTCGTTAGCTGAATTGATAATGTAATGAGGCATATATTAGCATTTTGCTTGAGACTGAACCTGTTCAGTCACTTCTTAATACACAGACCGATGACTTTGTTTTTGTTTTGTTTTCTGTCTATATTGCTTATATTTATTGTATTATATGTGATGACTGAATAAAAAAATCTATTACTATTGAAAAAATATCATCATCAACCTGTAATGAATGATGTAATTTACTTTCCCTTCACTTTGCCTCTTGTGTTTCAGTGAGTTCCTACATTAACCACAATGCATTTAAACAACCTCCGGGGAATGATCCTGTAAACTCTGTGTGCAGACGGAGAGAGATCAGGCGTCCTGTGGCGTCATGGTTCACAACAAACACACACTTCCTGGTGTAATTCTATCATGAACCTCAATGTTTCCATTTTAAAGAGTTTTACGTTTAAGATTTAAAAGATCGATTTCAGCACCTTTGAAATCAGCAGCTGCTTCAAAGTAAGAAAAAAAAAAAAGGGGCAGAAAATGGCTGATGAAAGAAAAGTGTAACAATGAAAAAAGCTAAACTCTCCCTTCTCCCAGCAACAGCTGCTGTGGTGCCCTTCAGCAAGGCTTTAGCATGTGCGGCACGCGCTGCTGTGATTGAAGCAAAAGGCACTCGACATAGATTGAGACACTTTGGTGTTTATCTTATATGCTGAGCTGGTAACTGTATCAGAGGTGAGCACTTTCAAGACTTTGATGTCCTGCTTCAGTCAGTGTCTTTGGAGCTTCACTTTCATCGTCTGACCTTCTCAAAGATTCACACCAGCCGCCCTTCACCCCCCCTCCCCCACCCCCCCCCCCCCTCCCCCCGCTGCTCCTCTAACCTTTTCGGTTGCCGCCACCTTCCATTAACTTGCATCATCTTCTTGCCGGGTCTCGTCTGCGGCGTCGCCTCAGAGCTCCACGGTCCGCAGGTGGCCGCGGGGGGAAACCGCGGCCAGCACGCTCTGAGGCAAACACTCGGACTGCTCCGCGGTGCTGCCACAACAGGACCAGTGGGGCTTCCCGGGGTGGCCCTTATGACCGTGACCGCAGCCTTTAAATCCTCCTGCCGTCAGACAAACAGGGAGGAGACAGACAGACGAAGACGGGAGATCAGAAACAACAGGAGTGACGCTGAGATGAAGGACAGAGAGGGAGAAATAAACTAAGGACCATTTATACTGGAGACGTGTGTCTGATTTAAATCATAACTTCGTCCTAAATGTGCTGCTGCGTGACAGTAATTGTCAAAAATTCAGGAATTTTTCAACATTTTCATCAATATCTCAGGAAATAATGTTTGGATCCTTAAAAAAATCATACATATTAACGGCATTGAGATCTATGAGGTTAAACAGTTTGGTGCAGATTCAGACAATAATCTGGATCTTGTGGCAGAAAACGTTTGGTCTTGAAGGAGGTATGCACAGAAACTACAAATTAAATGAAGGTAGCAACTCATCTGAATATTCTTATACTGTTGTATATCATCATCAACCTGTAATAAATGACGTCATTTACTTTGCTACTTTCACTTTACTTTGCCTTTTATTTCAGTGACTTCCTACATTAACCACGAGGCCTTTGAACGACTTCCAGAGAATAAATCCTGTGAGTAGATGAAGAGAGATCAGTTTCTTTTCAGCTGAAAACTGTGCCTCCTTTCTCAAAATGCAACATGTCATCTAGAGGCATGGTTCATAACAAACCTTTTAGTGTAATTGTATCAGGAGCAAATCTGATTTTTGTATAAATAAAATTAACTTCAATGCAACTGCACATGGAGAGTAAAGAGAGCATCAGATTACTGCATAATAAACCAGTTTCTCTCAGAAACAGAAGTCAACAGTCTGTTGTCTGTCCACGTCCTTCTTAAAAACAAAGTGAACCATTTTTGTTGTTTTTTATTTTTGTTCAATGTGAAAAACACCTCAGTGAAAAGTTTCCCTCCGATCGGACACTTTCAGGATGTCTTGTGTGTACCTGGCATGGTTCCTGGACAGCCACAGCGAGCCTCTTTGGCTCCTCCACTGGAGCAGAAGGAGCAGCAGTGAAACGTCCCACTGTGACGCCTCAACTTCCTCTTCACAGTCAGACTGAACGGGGAACCCTGCAGGAGGAGATGGGAGAGAGTCAGTGTCTGTCTGTCTGTCCGGGTCGACAGACACCAACACTACATAAAAACAGATGCAGGAAAGTGGCTGGATTCTTAAAAACTCAGGATGTCAGGATTATCAAGCATCCCATGTCGATTCCTTTAGTCAGGATGATGTTAACAGCCCCGAGGTGACACACTGGGAGCTGCCGGCAAGGCCACGGCTCAGCCCAGCATCAAATCAAACTACTTTCAAATGCATATCTCAGCTGAGAGAAGTAATAAACAACAACTGTTCTAAATTGTTTCGTACCTTGACGTGTTGAGCTTTGACACAAACCCACACTGAGTAGGTTCCCGGCCCCTCAGGTGTGTATGAAACACTGTAGGATCCGTCGTTGTTGTCGACCACTGTTGTCTCCACTGTGCTGAAGGAAAAGATCACAAATGATCTTATTAATGTTATAAAATATCACTGAAAAAATTAAGCTGACGACCAGTTTTGTTAAAGGTTAAGGTTATGAGTGTCCCTTTCTTAGACTTCATTTCCTGCCATTAAGTTTCCTCCCGACATTTCAGTGAATGAAACTTCATTCCTTCACTCACCAAGAAAACAACGGAAAACAACCCTCTTGTTTTGCTTCTGTTTCTATCACTTCTCTTTCTTCTACTGAAGTTAGCATGCTAACCAGCTAGCCCACTTTCCGATACCGAGTCACTGTAGCGTCCAGTGTTGCCGGAAGAAGTAGCTCTGCTCCGAGGACGTATTATAACGTCTTGTTTTGCAAAAGCAACAATGGCTGAAGCTGTTGGTGGGTAAACAGCTGTCAATTAATGCTAATGTTGGCTATGTAGCGATAGCAAAACTTACAAATAGCTCATTTCACGCTGGAAAGCTGTGGTGATCACTGAGATGTAACTGGTTTCACTACATTTCATCGAGGTAACTACCGTTAGTCTGGTGTGAGTAACCGCAGTTAGATAATGTACGTCACTTAAATTACAGACTGTAGGTGAAACACACACGCTGCCTTCACGTGGCTGGAAGAGTTAATTAACTAACTGGTAAGAAACAGATAATCACATATGAATCTTCCTGTTAGAATAAAACAGAAAGCAAAAGCATGAATTAAGTGGGTTTGTGTGTTTTCTTTTAGGTCACAAGAGTAACCCGTAACCATAGTCACAGAAATAGCACAGTACACAGATTTAAATTGCCCCGTTGACCTGCAACAAAGCAGCTGCTCAACACACAGTGAAAAACTTCACTTGACCAGTCTGGACACAAACACTTCAGTGTGCTGCTGAACATCCAAATACATTCCACGAGAGGATAAAACTTAATCGAGCCTCATGAAAATACCATGCGAGAGAACTTCAGTCTCTTCAGAATATTTCCTCTAACCTGAACTGAATTGAACCAGATCTGCTCAAGAGAGTTAAAACCCTGACACAGCAGGTCAGGCGGTGTCACGCGCTCACCAGTTTTTCTTCTCCTTGTGGACGACACTGACCAGGACGTGCTCCCCACCTCGCGCCATCTGCTCTCCAGCTGAGTCCCGGCACACCAGGGTGAAGCGTCCCTGCTGGCCCTCCCTGCCCCGCTGCAGACCTGCGACCGCCAGGAGTTAAAGGTTAGAGACGTGAATTTGATTGTCGAGCAGCTCGTTCCAAAATAAGGGGCATTGATCTGCTGCAAGCGTTTGGACCCCGGCTGCAGAGATTTACTCTCATTGAGTCACAAGAGCACGAGCAGAAAGACACCAAAACCTCTCACACAGGCAGAAAAGCACTGAGAGACGTGTGCACATCCAGAGAGAGTGGCAGAGAGGTCTCATACATCAAGGCAGAAATCTCTCTGACACAGTCACACCTGCAGAGAACAGTTTGCTTCGTAAGTATCTACGCACAAACTTTTGCAAACACACAAGAAGCAGGAAAACAGGAAGAACACAACGACTCGTCTCTTCAGGTTTTACGAGTGATCCTGCTCGACATTAGAAGAGGCACTCCATCATTCAGACACACCACAAACTGGAGACACTTTGTCTTGTGTCCCTTAAAGACTTCAGTCACACACTCCATCTCACCCACAAACAACCCCCCCCCCCATCCCCCCCTGCAGACTGCTTACATAAGCCACTTTCCCCTCTAAACATATGGTGTCTGCAGTCAGTGTGACTTCAGGCACAGCTGGGCTTCACTGCTGCTGACCACAGCTTTCCAGAAACGCACATTATCATTTAGTGTTCCACTAACTTGCTCTGCTGTGCTGCGGGGGTCACACTCGCTGATACAGATGTTCATCTGCTGCTGCTGCTGTTGTTGTTGTTGTTGTTGTGTTAAAGCTAACATCGTTTGTGTTCACATCAGTGATTAATGTTACTTGGCATTTTCTTGACACACAATTAGCCGTCCCATGACTAATGATCCTACACTGTGTTTTCATCTGTCTTTGTTCAGTTTTCCAGTAACTGCAGGCTGATCTGTTCGGACGCTGTTGCTAACGAATGGATTCAATGCTTCTACTCCTACAATATGTGCAAAGCTACAAACACTGCTCAGACTAATATTAATGCTACTTAGAGCTGCTGCAATTGATCGATTAATCGATCACTGCCAACTCTTTTGATAACATGTTGTTTTGAATCCAGTCTCTGGCTCCTGACACCGATTCGCTCGTCTTCACCTGGGCCCACGGACCAAACCTGGCAACACACGCAGCAGCAGCAGAAGAAGAAGAGCAGAGACACTGGATGAGGAGATGAACTGCTGATTGTCGAAGGAAGAGCTCCAATATGTGTCTGAAATCAAGTTGTTGCTTTTACATTTAAACAAACAAGAGAAATCTGAGATCCAAATATGGAACTATTATTTTAACTACTGCTGTTACTGGGGATCGATGTAACAACGCACATTTCTTCAAGTGCTGTATGAATCTGAGGTAAACTGGCAAAAGGTTTTATTTTTATACAGATCATGAGCTATAAAACAATATGAACTGCACTACAGTTATTTCTGAAATAGCTAATTTATTAATTGATTAGACCAGTGGCTCTCAAAGTGGGACCCCCAGAGATCCTTGAGGGGGACACTGGGGGACCCAGCAAAAAGGGGAATAATTTATTTTTACTTTAATTCCATCCATAAGAGAACCACTGGAGTAGAAAAATAATTAACTAAATTCTCATGTCAGACATTTATCAAGCAAAAAGGACAAAAATTCAGGAGTTTCATCTCCTCAAATGTGAAAATCTGCTGTTTTTCCTTGTTTTAAACAGTTGTAAACGATGTTGTTCAGACAAAACAACATGAAGAAGTCACATTGGGCTCTGGGAAATCATAATGGGCAAACAACTAATACAAAAAAAAATCTTAAAAATGAATAAATAATGAGAATAACTATTAGTTACAGCCCTGATTAAGATATTAAAATACTAAAGGGCAATGACACGTAAACACTGTGTAAGTCTGGACCTTTGAGTTCTCGCCATTTCTACATAATACAAGACATTCCCTTCACATTCCTGCTACTTTGACTTAAAATACAGAAATTAAAACCGCTGCCACCACAAATACTATCATTAGAAACTAATGGGTGTGAATTATCTGTGAATGTGTGTGTGTGCTCTCTGAGCCGAGTACCCAGCAGCTGTCACCATTACAGAGCCAGCTGTTGTGGCCCACATTTCACCTGTGCCGTGCAGCGCCGTGGTCCAGATCCACCATCTCAAACCCTCTTATCACTCACAGAGAGAGAGAGAGAGAGAGAGAGAGAGAGAGAGAGAGAGAGAGAGGATAATTATCGCTTAACTGCTCCTAATAGTCAACGCAGAAATCTGCCCTTCATCTGCCCCCCCGTAAATGAAGGAGCTGCTGTGAGAAGCTGATGTGGCTGATGAAAGTTAACTTGAGGGGGAGCAAACACATTAAAAGGTGGATAAAGATGGTTTAGCTGATAGCAGTGATACTGTGGATTTATAAAAAACCAAACCCAACACAAGAAAGGAGAAGTCTTTGAAACACAATATGGAAGTCAATTGGAAGGAGGTGTGGGTAAATGAAAGGTCACTGCAGGGTGAAATACTGTAATACACCCCGAGCCAGACCGACACGGACACAAACAAGAGCTTCACACAATACACAGACTGACCTTTCTGGCAAACACGGCAACAAAACAGCTGATCTTTGACACAGACGAGACTCTGAATAAAGTCTCTTTTACTTCGTACTTTCGTTCTGAGACGTTCACAGAGACAAGCTGCTGCAAAGCTCTGCTGCCTGTGTGTGTGTGTGTGTGTGTGTGTGTGTGTGTGTGTGTGTGTGTGTGTGTGTGTGTGTGTGTGTGTGTGTGTGTGTGTGTGTGTGTGTGTGTGTGTTGGAGGGCTGTAATTTGTGGAGGACCACATGACTTGAATTTTTTACATTTGTTTACTTTTTCTTCCTCTTGTGCGTTTATTGATTTTATTGTTTAAACATTCGTGTTTGTAATTCTCCTCGTTATAACTAAGTCTTGCTAATTGACACTTTGCCTCTGTGTCTTTTATTGCTTTGTTTTGTTTTTGTTTGTAACACTTTGTAACTCAGTTTTGAAAACTGCTGTATAAATAAATTTATTATTATTACTGAATGCGACAATATGACTTTATTTTTCTGTGCTCTGAGTGATTTCTTAAGGCTGCAACTTTAATTATCAATTAATTTGTAAATTTAGTTTTTTTTTTAATAACCATGTCTGTAAAAAGTCTCTGTTACAGCCCGAGGTTACGTCTTCAAAATTGCTTCTTTTGTCCAATAAACAGACTAAAACAACCTAAATATATTCAATCGACTAAACTACAACTATAATAAACAGAGTAAAGCTAATTTTAGTATTATTAATTAAGTTTTTCAGCACTTCACTGTTTTTAGATCTGTAATGCTTTTGCTATAATTTAGACGTACTGTACACAGACTGTCAGAGAGACAAAGAAAATCTGGTACATTCATGTGTTTATATAATTCCTTTTATATCATTCATATAAAGTTCACTTTGCTCCGGTCGCTCCTGGTGTTCAGTGAGGGACTGAAACTACATTTATCTTTATAAGAATTCATTCCTGTGGCTTGAAAATGTCCGGTAGCCACTTACAATGTCACCTGTGAGTTTCCCTTCTCTCTTTAACAGTGTGTGTGTGTGTGTGTGTGTGTGTGTGTGTGTGTGTGTATATATAAACACCGTCTGCTGCCTTCAGGCCTGTTGTGTTGCCTCAGCATTCCTTCGATCCCAAAGGAATTTCTGTCTCGGAGCCAAAGCACCCAGGAAGGAAACAATGGTCTTTAACTGCTCCAGTAGAAGTTGGTCCACCCCCCCACCCCACCCCCCCCCACCCCACTCATCATCCCCCCCCGGCATTTAAACCTGTCCCCTCCACCTCCCCACCCTCCTGCCTGCAACGACTCACACAGGCTGATCTCCAGCTGTAGCCTTAGACTTGTTTCAGGGCTAAATATCACTTTGAACAATAAATATACCTGTAATTAAGTGAATCCACAGATTTACAAAAGAAACATTCATGAAACATCTGTTATAAACCTGAATACTGCAATGACTAGGAAAACAACAAATCCCATTAAAGTCTCAATGTGGGAGTTTATTCCTGAGCCCATTGGTTCCTACTGAAAATAAATCTCTTACTCTGTTTTCATGTTTAAAACAAGTGATTTCTAAAACAGCTGTGTGCTTTATAACAAACATAAATAAAGTATTTTCAGCCACAAATTCAAACACATTTGTTGCACTAGTGAACATTTACATATGATGTATTTGGGATTGACTCATAGAATCCGGGGTAATAAAACGGTAAGTTGGTAAATGATGTGTTTTAATAGGTTTTGGATGGAGGTTTGTAGCACAGAGCAATAATCCATAACAAGCTTTACAATACTTGTCTGGTCTTTTTATAGGATTTGTTCTCGATAAAAAATATAAAACAACAACCTATAACCTGCCTTTAATTTAAATGAAAGGGATTAAAAACGGTGCAACTCTACCTATTAATGCCTGATCATGAACATTTCACAACTTATTGCAGGATATTAACCTGTGTTTTTATTTCTTTCTTTATTTGGATCCCGATTATCCCTCACTGATGTAACTGTTCTTACCCGAAGATCAAATAACTTTAATAACTTTTTCACATTTTAAAATAAAAACACTTTTATCCTAAGTTACTTATTGCTGTTAATAAAACCGATCCCTGTACATTCACACTGGTGCGTTTACCTTCCCCTTCGATGGTGCACTTGCTGAGGTCCGCTGTCTTAGAGTTGATCACCCCGACCACCGGGTAGCCCTCCACCTCCCCTGCTGGCTCCCCGGGCATGAAGCAGATGCTGCTGCCGTCGTCGGGGGCGACGGTCGCCGGGTGAGGGTCGTAGCCGCTCTCCACCAGACTGGTCAGTCTCCTCAGGGTCACTCCTTTGGCGCTGAGGATCTCAGCGTCCGACCCGCAGCTCAGCAGCCTCTCTGCGAACTCCACACCTCCTCGGACATCCAGCAGAGCCTGCTGCAGCTGAGCCCTCTGCAGGTGCAGCTGGTTCCTGGTGCACAGGCATAGCGGGAACATTTACATTATTCTACGGTTAACCCACAACAGCTAATTTTCAACTTGAGCATGAAAGTTGATGACTTTACCTCAGAAATAAAGTAAGCACCACATCTCACGTCCTTCATTCTGCTGATGAAGACCCTGAGATGTGGTTGAAAGCTTGAGGAAATGCTAGTAAGTAGAGAGTGAGTTCAGATCATCTTCTGAAATTTCAAAGTGAGATGAACTTTACTGACTTTACTCGAGGAGAGCTTTGTCTCAGAGTCAGTCAAATTAAAAGAGGAAGGTATCAAATTTTCATTAGAGATGAGGGTGGGGCCAAAAGTAGAAGTCCCCTCCACCCCCACCCCCACGGGAGGTCAGAGGTCAGGGTGACCTAGCCTACAGCTGAGAGAACTGAGAGCTTCTGCTCCTTGTTGAGAGTGTGAGTGGGACACAGGATCTGTGTGGGTTTAGTCATACCTGCGTTGGACACGGAGCTCCTCCAGGCGACGCAGCAGAGACAGGCAGTGGGCTTCCACAGCGCTGGCATAACCTCGCGCAAACGCCCTCACCTCGATGGCTGTCGCATCCACTCGTGCCTGCAAAGCCTCCTGGGATACTTCCACCTGTAGGAGAGTGAAGAGAAAGAATACATCCTCAGGATAGGAAGGTTTTAACATGGCGGTTGGTCTCTCCGACATTGGGATGAACAGACTCTGTAGCACCTTCTGCAGTGACTCCTCCAGACGGTCCAGGCGAGGACGCAGGCGCGCAGTGACCAGCTCTCGGATGCGGTCTCCATGACGATCTATGACGTCACGCGTGGGGCAGCAGCGGTGGTCGCGGTGCAGCGTGGCGGCACACTCCAGGCAAACGGGAAGGTCGCACGGCTGACAGAAGAGCCGGAGCTCCTGGCCGGGATGGAGGGAGCAGAGGACGGGGCGGCAGAGACGACCACGAGACCTCAGCTCCTCCACGCCCCGAACGGAGTGAGACGCTGTTCGCTTCTGCCGCCTGCAGACAGCAGAGAGAACAGATACTCACATGTTTGCAATGTCAGAATAAAGATTCAGTTCAACCTCAGGCCTCGGTTGGAGGTCAGAGGTTACCTTGTGATGTAAGAGAAGAGAAAACAACTGAACAGAACTTTAATAAAGAGGATAGAGTAGAAAGATATAGTCAAGAACCTCACACATACTCTACCTATAAAACAAGAGTCAAACCTTGTTGCTCTGTTAGTGTGAGCTCAAAGAACAATAGAGTACAATAGAACCTACTAACTAGTTCAAGCTTCTCCAAAGATTTGATGCTTTTCCTTGGAAACACTGTCTTTGCATTTTGGACTGATGGTTGGATAAAAGAGATAATTGCAACAAACTACCAATTTTATAGACAAATGACTAATCAAGACACTAATATACAGATTTATTGATGAAAAATAATTGTTAGTTGAAGCCCTGCAATAGTCCCTCGCCTCTTTGTGAGCTTCATACTGTAGGACAGGCTCGAGCAAGACAGAACCAACCTACCAGCTTGTTAACAGAATAGAATGGCATAGAAATGAATGGAGTAAATAGAATCTCACACCTATAGGTGAGTGTGACAGCACAACATGCGCTAAGAGAAAACCAAACCTTCCTGTGAGCTTGACAAAAGAAAACAGTAGATTGGAATAGAATTTATCTACTTAAGTTCACCTGTTTAACTGAATTGTAACTCTATTCTATTCTATTCTATTCAAGTTCAAGTCAACAGGTAGTTTCTATTCTATATAACACACTGGAAGAGAAGCTGCATGTTAACTTGACAGCAGAATAGAATAGAGTAGACTAGAACATAATGAAATACAACAGAACAGAACTTCTGAGCATAGAATGGAAGAGAATAGAACCTGTCCTCTCACGTGGAATAGAAATATCTCAGAATGTGAACCTGACAGCAGGATATATAATGGAATAGAATAGAGTATAATAGAACATAGAGCATATATATAGAATCTCACAGTGAACATGGCAGAATAAAGTTGAACAGAACGTCAGAATCGAATCGAATCAATCGAATAGTACAGAATCGAATCGCATAGAACAGAACCGAACAGAATAGTATCTACCTGTGTGCCTGGCAGCAGAACTCGCACAGGTTGATGGAGCAGACCTCGCAGCGGCTCTCGGCGCCTCCTTCGCCGCACAGGTCGCATCCCAGCGGGCCGTTCGTCACCAGGGTCTCCAGGAATATTTCGTCCAGCGCCAGGTGGTCGGTGCTCAGCCCGGCCGGTCCCGACGGAGGAATGTCCACCTCGGAGTCACAGTCGGGACAGAGCACCGTGACGGTGACGGCGGGCGCGTCCGCCTCCGCCGCCTCGCCGCTCCTGCCGTTCTCCGCTGCGTCCCGGTGGCGGCGCGAAGACACGGAAAACGGCTCCAGCTGGGCGATACAGTCGGAGCAGAAGGTGTGCAGACACGGGAGGATCTTAGGGTCCCGGTACAAGCGTTTACACGCGTTACAAACCGCCCTCGGGTTTACTAAGCCGCCGTTTTGTTCGTGTTCCGAGTTTGACGTTGACTCCGCCGCGGTTTCCTTCTGCTCTGACCGCGACATTGTCTGTTTTTTTGGGGATTTCTGGTGCCAAAAACAAACCAGTGATTAGCCCTACCACGATGAAACCCCCCGAGCCCCTCAAACCTGTTACAACCGGAAGACAACTTCTCCAGAACCGGCTCTTCCTCTGCACAGTGACCGCTCACATGAAACCGTCTATTGCCCGACAGAAAAGATATTTGAATTTCATCTCACTGATTAAAATCCCACTGGAAAGTCCTACTTTTCTTCGACAGAAGTAAGCGGCATTCACGGCCCCATGGGACATATGACACCTCGCTCACTACCGGACCAATAGGAAGCCTCACACAGCCTATCAAGGGTGGTTCAAAGACTTTCAGGACTCTTTAGTTCCAGTCTGGGACCCTGACTGCCCCCATCTACTGGCAGGACAGGACAATGTGGTTTCTGGAGCATCTCACACAATAACTGCAGTTTTTAGAGTTAGTCTGGTTTTATTATGTCTATTGCTGCATTCAATGTTTTTTTTTGTTGTTGTTTTTTTTTAATGTAATCCTGAGCTCAAGTCTTCATACAATTCCGTATTAATTAGTGTTCATTTATTCATTGATTGTAAAAATAATATGTATGGAATTCAGTCTTTAAATGCTGAAATTTCCTATATTTTATTCCTTTATGATATTCTGTTTATTTTAATGCAGTTTCCACACAACACATGCAGTTTTATGTTAGACAGACAATTTAAAATAAAAACTATAAATAACAAGAATTTAGAAAAGTTTACTGACAAATAATTCACTTACAGCAAAACATGACACATACACCAGAGGAATAAAAAGGAAATAGTATACTGAGAAAAATCACTAGAGTTAAATGGTGTTACATGGTAACAACACCCACTGAAACAAATTAATAACCAAAGTAACATAATGTTAAGAAATTAATTACACTGCTTTTATGTAGCCTATTTTACATCTGTCAAATCCTGACAGTGAAGGCAGCACATGCATACACAAAGATATACTGTATGTACCCAGGATGAGGTGTATGGCGAATATTTAACCTGTACTTGATGTACGCTAAATACAGATCAATCAAATAAAGTGATTGATTAGTATTTAATGTATGTTTGTGTGTGTAATTAGGTCAGATAGCAGATGCAGAGGACACTGGTTATAATGCTCAGGTAAGCTGACGCCAGCAGAGATGAAGCAGCACTGTAGATGAAGTATGTGTTCTTCGAAACACCAGAGCCTGAAAAATATGAAAGGAGATTCAAATAATAATATTTTTGTGTGAAAAGTTTTATAATCTGTTTTTTTCCATCTTTTATTCTATTTCACTTTAGGTTCTAGGTTATTTGTTTTTGTTTGTATTTTGAATTTATGAGTTAATGACAAAATCACTCTTATATCAGTGAATATTTTTTATTAAGAAATGTGTGCTAAATTTCAGTTAAATTAGAATATTAAATTAAGATTATTTCAACAATTTAGCATCGTACTTCCATGAAGTTGAGGGACTTAAATCATAGAAAATAAAAATTATTATTCACTGATATGGGCCTAATTACAGAGGCAATCAGAAATAGCAAATCTGATAACATCACTAGGGTTAAACTCATTTAAACTTTTAAAAGGTAAAACCATTAAAGTTCATGTCACATCAACAGAAAGATTTGAAATGCTAGGAAACCCACATCATGATATATAATCATAAACTCACACCTGTTACAGTTGCCTTGGAGACAGACAACACCAAGTCATTTTCAATCCTGCAGGTGTAGGAGCTGCTGATGTTGACTGGCTGCAGCTCGCTGACAACGCTGTAAATCCCTCCAGAGTCCTGTGAGAAGTTTGTGCGTCCCTGCAGGACGCCTCCATCGCTGTTCAACCACGTCACATTTGGTTTGGGGAACCACCTGCTTGCCTCAGCAGTCAGGACGCCGTTTGAGAAGCGAAATGTTGGGGCTGAAAAGGCTGAGACAATATAAGCGCTGAGAAAAAGATCATGAATCTGTGCTGCATTGTGAAATTTTCCAAGACCAACTTCAGTCATTATCACAATATGTGTAACGCTTTTCAATCTGTCATGAAACAAGATTATAAAGTTGCAAAAAAGAAAATAAATAAGTGCAATAATACAGTTAAAATCCAGTATAAACAGCAGTATAAATCATCTGACCTCAGCCTGTAACTCTGACAGGTTCAGATGTTCTCTTTAACCCTCCAATTTAGCATTTATAAGCTGTATAGATTAAACATGTTTGATCAATTAAATTTATTACACACTATAATGCAGATGTTTGCGGATGTAAGAGTGTATTAATGAATTTTTCAACCACAATAACTCCTCCTATGGACATGGCTGCTGTATAAACAGATAATGAATGGCCATATAGTTAAACACAGTTGTAATAATATAAAATATATCTTTACAGGAGAAGCTATAAACACTCTGCTTACCACTACATTATATATGTCGTAAACCAGTGTTTATATACTGTTTATAAATCCTAATCGAAGTTGAACTGAAGTCAAGTGTTTCCAGAGAAATACATTTTCAGAGCAAACACACAGTGAAACCGGAAAGACGAGTCATCCTACCTGCTGTCCTGAGACGAATGTTGACTTTCCCTCCTCCGTCAGAGGAGCTGATGCTGCAGGTGTACTTTCCCTCATCACCACTTCTCACACTCCTTATCAGCAGGGAGGCGTTCCCCGAGAGTAAAGCATCAGAGGAGATCTCAGTTCTCCCTCTGAACTGCGAGTTCTGCTCCCCAAGGTCCGGAGCTCCGTCGTCATACCGGTAAACAAGTCCCTCTAGGTCCTCCTTCGTCCAGGTGACTGACACCTGGCTGACTGTGGTTCGTCCAGTCTCTGTGTGAAGATAGCAGATGAGAAGCTCATCCTCGCCGAGGTTGGCGACGGGCGCTGTGTTGGTGCTCGTCACGTCAGAGGAGGACCCTGTGGGACCGGGACACAGGCAGAGACTCATCATGGAAAATATCCACATTATTAGCTTTGACAGATTTCAGTTTACTTCATTGTTTTTTAGTGCAAATCTCAGAATTTTAAAAGGATTTCTTAAAGGTTCACAGGTTCACTCACATTCCCAGAGTCATTTGTCCCTGTTGTGCAAACTGGCCATGAAGAAATGCCTTACTGAAGTTATTCCAATGTAAGAGAAGGGGGATAAAATCCACAGGCTTTGTTCTGTGTGAAGATGCTTTATTAAAGCTAAAGGTCTCTGTCCATGTGTAGTGTGATTATAGATCAGGTCTAGCTTCTATATTGATACTGTGAAAGTATCAAAAGCCTCAGTCCACAGAGAAATGCACACAGCCTGTATTCAGAAACTGAGCCTTAAAACCAGCCGTCAGGACTTCTGGAACTTTGTGATGTCACAACGAAGCAGTCACCACTCTCAGCCACGCCCCAAGCCCCACCCACCTGGATAACTCAAAAAACAGTCAGCCAATCAGAAGAGAGCCTCCTCTCTTCTAGAGCTCATGGCAATGTCTTGTCATCCACAAGAATAAACTGCTTTGTAGTTTAGACAAACACAGTGTGTGCTGCACACACCCATCCGTCCCCTCAGGCCTGACAGGGCCCGTCACTAATGACACAAGATTCTCACGACTCGAGGATCCGTGGGTCTTACCTGAGAAGACCAAGGCCAGGGTGAGGATGATGATGGCCGAGAATATGACGATGAGGGTAATCATGCTGCACACAGAGAAGAAACACAATTACAGGGAAAGTGTAAGGTGAAACCGCCTCAGCTAAAATCAACACGTGGATCAGTTTTACAGCTTCTCCTCCTGCTGCAGAAATCCACTCACACCCAGCGGTGGAACAATTACATACATCATTCACTTAAGTAAAATACAACAACATAAAATACTCATTTAGCAGTAGGAGTTTTGCATTAGAAATATCACTTAAGCACGGTCACTGTACAGTTACATGGTTACTGATGCATCAATTATACACAGCTGGAGGGAACTTTTCTCTCACCTTGTATGGACCAAATGTCCCTAATAAACATGGAACCACTAACAACTCATACACATCATGACAGAGAACCCCAACACTGTTTTTTTTAAAGAGATCACAAGCTGAAAAAAAGTTGATAATCTTTGAGAAACTAAACTTAAATCTTTAACAATACATTATATGTTATAACCTGAAGAAACCTGTTGAATAAAGTGGAGTAAAAAGTGCTTTATTTCCCTTGAAATATGGAATACAAGTATAAAGTAGCATTGGATGGAAATACTCGAGAAAGGTACTAGTAACTCAAAACTGCACTTAGTAATTTTGCACCTGAACAGACACATAAATATTTTCAACATGTGATCACCACCGGTGCAAAACATCTGCAAACCTCGTGGCCACACCTGGCGAAGATGATCTGGCCGAGGGTCGCCATGGCTGCCGACAAAACCTCCCGAGTGAAGAACAAACGCTTCGATCCCGCTGCTTAAGTCAAAGGTCCAGTCATGCCATTCGTCCTAAACATCCACCACTCATTCAAAGTACACCAGGTTTCTTCTTCTTCTGCTGCTGCTGCTGCTGCTGCTGCTTCTTCACGCTGTGACAGTCTGCGCTTTTGCCTGTTTGGCGTCTCTCGCAGCACTTGAAACACAACACCATAAGTAAATATTACCTTTAAGGTGTGGGCTTCATTCTTGTTGACATGTTGTCACAGTAACTCATTTCTTATCAAATTAATAGGTACATGCTGTTGATTTACACGAGAAAGAGGCTCAGCTTGTTGAATGACGTGTTAAATACCTTTACTGTAACTATGTGATTATAGATTATAGTATTGGCTCACATTTTGTGAAGATAATCAGTTTATAAACAAGGTCAAGAGCCCAGGGCTTCCTCCAACACTTTACTTTGAAACTGAATTTACATGACTAAATAAAAGATGTAAAAGAAAGAAAGAAACAAAAATATGTCAGGTTCCTCTGTATATTTTAAAAACAACATTAGCTCTAACCATACTGAGGTAACAGTGGTGGGACTCGGATCCTTCACTTGACCCTTCACTAATGAAAACCTAAATAAAAGATGCACAAAATGTGTTTCTGTTTGAGGTGGAAATACAAAATTTACTGTGGAAACTGTCAAGACGTTTGGCCACACATGACAAAATCTGCATTTAATTTGTAGATAAATTTGATTTTACTCTCAAAAGTAAATTACAAAAATAAGTGTAACATTGATTTGACATGCTAAATATCACATTTACACCAGATCAAAGCAGCATATCATAATATATTTAGTCTATAGACACATAATTCATTTTGAAAATCCTAAGGTCTGCACAATGTAAACACAGGACAGATGATATTTTTTCCTTTTGAATATATATTGTAAGAATCCAGAATATGTGTGTATCAAAAATGATGAAGATCTGTTGCCTCATACTTTGACTGATATAAAGATATACAGAAAATGTAAAGTAAATGTAAAGTAAAATGTATGTAAATGAGTAAATATACTTAATATAAACCTACTGATAAATATAAATATACCACTTACTTTCTACCTGTGTCTGTCTGTGTGTTTGATTAGAATGGCCGTAGTTTTATTTTTATAATAAAATGTCATGGTAAATGAAAAAAAGGAAAACCTGTGGATACCCGTTTTTGGAAATTGATTAAAAGAGGAGGAAAGGAGGAGGATAAATCATGGATTTAATATTGGTGGGGTATTCAAAATCAGTATAATTAATATAATCATGTGCTCTCTTGGAAACCTCACAGAGCAATAGCAAAGTCACAAATGTACAAACAGACCGAATAATTGAACTATATGAGGTTGTTGTATTGCAATTTTGTGATAGACAGAACGTTCATCTTTAGGTGGTTTGGTGATATAATTACAAAATATCTCTCTTACTACCAACTCAGCCATGATTTGTAGGTGGAAGACATTTTCTGATGTATTTCATTACGCGTTCACGCTAATCGCTTATCTCACAGATCCATTTCACATCAGTTTTACAAGGCAAATCATTCCAGTTCTTTAAATCATTCGTCCCCAGTATGATTTGGCCACAGTCCTCTTCCCCGAGACTTTGATCTCCACCACCGTTATCAGGCTGTGTGTTCCTCCAGTACCTAACAGATCAACAGGACAACAGTGCGTAACACGGTCTATTATTCATGCTATTCAACAGGAAGGTATTAATCTATATTTGTCGCAACGCATCAAATAACAAGGCGACAACCACACAGAGAATGATCCCCTTAGCTCTACAGAGTGTTTTAGCATTTAGCTCATTGCTTCTTGGTCAACAACTCCATTCTTATCAGTGTTCTGTCCAACCACTGCAGGTAGCTGACAAAACATTAGATAGTCCCACTTCACACAACCTGACACAAAGTTTAGTAGTTGAAAACAACCCAACTCCAAATGAATGGTAATATCGCTCGGTGTGTGTTCAACTGTTTGCTAACACTTGTAGCATATCAGTTTTCTAAGGCGATATGTCAGTGTTGTGCTTTTGCCTCATATAAGCAAGAACTAGAGAGACACAATAAATAAAGTTTTTCTGCAGAATGTAAGAATAGTACTTTAGGTTGTCGATCGCTGCAGCATTTCCTACAAAGATTCTCAACGTCACACCTCGTCTCAGAGTCTCTGTAACACCAGTATCAAGTCGCAGAAACAGCTAACATGGGTGACAGAAGCTCCCTCACACAAGGACTCATTGTCAACTACCCCGCTCCCACTTCAACTGCATAACTGCATAGGAATGCATAAACTGTTTGTCAAAGCAGAGTCGAACTAATACCGCCAGCTGACCTGCAAAATATAAACAATACTCGAGGTTGACAGTTGCTACACAGCATTTTCTACATCCATTTCATACACAGAGATTGTCATTGTCTAATTAATCCATTAGAAACTTACTTACTTAAATTACTTGGCTGAATAATCGACACATAAAAATAAAATTCATAAATAAATGCAGCTTTGAAGTGACATTTTATTATGTTGAATATTTCCTCTTCGTTTTAATATTTGTACACAAAAACCACAGGAACTAAATCCTGTTTCTTTTTAAAGAAGTTTTTAAATAGTTACCAAACTACCTAACTTAAATACGGTATCTATATTTTGGGTTATGTCATTCTGTTCAATGACATCTCTAAAGCTGTGTCAGCCAATACATATTGCATTAACCTTTAAAACATCAACGAATCTCCCAAATATCTGAAATGGTCAAGTTCACCGCTTCATGGCTGCAGATGGCAGGTAGAAGCCTGACTGAAAGAACCACAGCACCACCTAGTGGCCTTACTGGGAAATACATTTCAGTTCAACTGGCGTGATTATACTGAGAACACGTCTGTGGTTTCTGATCCCCATAATTATCCCAACAAATAGATACAACAGTGTTTATATTTTAGTTTCTATCCAACAAGGGGAAGCACACGTCCGCCTTACTGCAGAGACAGTGGAGTTCCATCGATCCATATCCAGGTTCCCTCCATGGCTTCGTCAGTCAAACCGATCCAAGCCAGAGTTTCTTCCTTGACGAGGTTAGAGAGGAACGTCTGTTCAATAAAAACAGAAAGTTAGCTACAGACGTTAGCTACAATAGCAGGCGACTTGCGAGTATCACTGTCTACAGCTGGTGTGCTGTTAGCTTTGAAGGAGACAGCTAGTTGTCTTGTTGTTTGCTCTTTTATAAAAGGTTTTATAGCGACAAAGACCTTAAAAACACAAGTTTGCTAGCACAGTGGGTTTATTTGGTTGGATGCAGAATTCAAAATGCTAGCTTAGCTTCCTCGTTAGCATTGCTCCAAATCTACGGTCCCCTCTTCTGTCACTGTAGTTTTATAAAATATAAACTAAACAACTAGCTCTCACTGTGTTTTTTACTCTGTTGTGTTTTGGATGCTGTGTTTGTATGCATGTTGTTTGTTTGATGATGTGTGACAGATGCACATCAATGAATTTAGGGGGGTGGAGCTTCTGAAGGAGCACTTAAGGGAGGGGTGTAGTTGTTTGTTTTGCTGTCAAGTTCAAATATCAGCAGACATTTTCCAGCATTGCTGGATTGCTCTACCTTTAATGACTTTGGTGAGTCTCTGATATTTCCTTTACGCACCATGAGCTAGACTTTGTAGCTTTTACTATTGGATGAATTGCTTTAAAATTTGGTACAGACATTCACGGTCCCCAGCAGATGAACTGTAATAACTTTGATCTCTGAACTTTATCCATCTGGTTAAAATGTTCATTTTATCCAATGCTTTGGTTTACAATCAAACAAAACCCATGACATTCCCATCAGCTTCAGCTGTACCTTGTGTTGATTGGTAATTAGCAAATGTTAGCATGCCAACGTAAGCAACACAATGAACATTTAGCAGCACAGCTTCACAGAGCCACTAGAGTGGCTATAGACTCTCAGTCTTGTTCTGAAATATGGGAACTATCAACATTTATTTACAGAAACACGCCTGCACAGTACCTGCTCTTCAAGACTGTCTATGATCACTAGGTCTGCTTCTTTGGCTCTGCAGTCCTCTCTGCCTTTTTCCCAGGAACCAGTGTTACAGGAGAGGAAATAACAGGCATGACTAAACCTCCTCCATCCTACAGGACAAAATGTCTCTGTAAATAGAAAAATTCACTGATGAAAACATGAACGGCAGAGTAAAGAAGAACTTCAAATTTGCAGATTGTAGATGATTAGAGCTCAGAGTACAATCGCACCAGCTGTGTGCTATTCTACATTGTGTTTGTGTGTGTGTGTGTGTTCAGTAACCACAGATGTGACTCAACTCTGAAGCCTGTTCAGCTCTTTAGTCATTTCAGTGAGATTGGCAACAAGCAGGTCTCTCTCTTCAGTCAGGGAGAAGAGTTTGTCATTACTGGCCTGAAGACGCTCAGTCAGGTTGGCTTCTTCAGCTGAAAGCTGTACGGAGTTATAGTCTAAAATCAATCAAGAGAGATCTTTATGTTTATTACAGGATCACACCACCAGAAAAGAAAAGACATTTGCGTCTATGGATCTGCTTTTAACAAGTGAGTCACCTTCTTCCTTTGTATGTTGCGTTCTAATAATACCATGTCTTTAATGCCACTCCTCTAATGCAAAAGTGTTGCACGTAAATGAACAGTAGATGTATTTATAGTCAATAAAAAAAAGACAGAGAAGTGAAACTGAGGAGTCAACTCTCTCTCATATCTCTCTAATTTTTTTCCCAGCAGATATGTTGATATCCCCCCTACGGAGCCCCTAAGGGGACATGGGGAAGAAAATAAAAAGACCAAAGAAATCTGTAGATCTGTAGATATCAAATAAATATTGACATGAAAATCAAACATAGTTGGATTACAGCACTAAAATGTAAGTTTGCTTGATGCTCGTGTTTATCCGAAGCCCTGCTTACACAGCATTGTGTCATAATCACAAAACATGAATCAGTGTTGAACTTTTTTATATGACACTTCGATTAAAAGCTGCTTTGAGTTTTAAAACAAACAAACTGAGAGAACGACAGAACAGGGGACCGAAACCAATTAAGAATATATGAGGGGGGCAATAAGAGCATAAAGGCAGGGCAACACTGCCTTAATATAAATATGAATGTAAATTCAAAATGACGAACTAAAATACACATCTTAATAAAATGTGAGCAGAATAATAAAATAATCTGATTTCTGTATGTGAACCAGACTCACGGTGGACGCCGAGGCCGATGAGCCCAGCCAGCAGGAGAACACTCAGCAGACTCAGAGAGAGAACAACAGCTCCATGAAACCTCCTCTCAGAGCTCCTGGGACCTGAACAGAGAAAAGACCAGTGAGTAAACACAGTAACAACAGATGATTACACAGATTTATTCTCAGCTCAGTCTCATTGTCTGAACATTTTTACCTGTCTGACTTGCTGAAGGTCTTGATTGGCCAGGTTTGCTGCATTCAACATTGGCATAGATGTTGTCCATCGCTCACATCGCTTTCTGAGAGAATGTGATTTCTGCAGCACAATTTCTCACCTTCAACTTTGGAGGAAGTCACCAGTTTCAGAGGGGATACATCAGACTTATTTTTGTTCTTGGTTCCTTGTGTAGTTGTGTTGTTGATTGTGGTTTTTGATTGATTCTTTCTTTCTTTCTTTCTTTCTTTCTTTCTTTCTTTCTTTCTATCTATCTATCTATCTATGAATGATGTTATTTATAAGAAAGTATATATATATATATATATATATATATATTTTTTTTTTTCATGAGTTGTTAAAGTCAGATGAGAACTGCATCTTTAGTAGTGAAATGTGACACATTTAATACACATCATATATTAAAAGCTGAAACAGACGTCTAAGCCATTTTCGGAATAAGATAATGCTCCTGTTCATTCCAAGTTCACTCTGACATTAACTTATAAAAAAACAAAACAAACTTAGAATGGACACAACAGCACGTTCAACACTGACACAGATTTCCTCCATATATTGAAAGGTCAGCCCTGTGGAAGAGATTATGCTACTAAAAAACTCTTGTTGGTTTCAATAGTGTCTTTACAGCTTTACTTTTGAGGAAGTAACAAGTGATGAGAATATCCGATGAAAATTGTCACATAAAACAGGAACTCTGTGGTCTCAGGACAACTTAATGCTTGGTACGGAGGTCTAAAGTCCTTTTTAGTGGAATAGAAACAAATTCACTGTGTTGTTATTTGGTATGAGGATTTCTGGAATGGACGATGTAATATGAAATTTGAGGGTTCATACTAGTTTGGTGAATTGGTGATTTCCCAGAGCAGTAAATGTGAGCGTACATGTCTTTATCCAAAACATGTAGTTTGTCCATGCCCTCTGAAATGACACACAGAAACAATTTCTGATCTGATGGTTGTAGATTAAGTAAATAAAGGGCCTCCAGACATTTACATATTGATGGAAATGCTCTATCTTTATCTGTCACACACAGTCGCACAAGCAAAGGCCTTCTGCGTAGTCATAGCATATATAATAAAAGTATTAACACATGTATTATTTTAAAACTAAGTAAGTGCTAAGGCATTTTTTTCACAGATCCATGGCTTAGAGGCATCACACCGCAGATCATTCCAGTTCTCATCAGTTTTCATCCCTGGTTGGATAACTGCACAGTCCTCTTCACCCCACTTAGGATTTCCATTACCCTTATCCGGCTGCCCTTTTTGCCAGAACCTAGGAAATTAATAAGAAAGTGAACGTTTACAGCATTTTCCACCTCTCCCAAGTGGCCAAAACCCCCAATTAATGCAGCTTTACAGGAGCAATTTGTAGAAGTACAACGAAAAGTTTGCTTTCCACAGCTGGAGACATTCCAGTAAAGGAATTAAGTTTGATGCTGAACTCGCAACGTTTCTTCTAGACCGGTAAGTAAACAGTTGTTAATGCTAACGTTAGCTATGTGGCGATAGCAAATCTATATATAAAAGCTCCTTTAATGTTTGCCAGTGAACTAATTCAAGCATAGAAAAAAATCTGTCTCCATCCACTGAAACCAACCAATGATTTAGATGAATCTTGGAAATCAAATTCAGTTTGATTCCAATAATAATCATTTAGACAGTCATACAAAAAATAAGTAATTAAGCATAGAAACCTACAGCAAGGGTTGTATATGTGTCTATATACAAACAATGTGTGGGGCTGTTACTTCACTGTATCCCTTACTTCACAGTAGGTAGAGTTCCATCAATCCATTTCCAGGTTTTCTCATTGTTTTTGTCAGTCAAACCAATCCAAGAGTCGCCCTTGATGACGACTTTAGTTAAGAATTCCTGTTTAAGATAAAGGAAAGAAAGCCTAGATTTATACCAATCATACAACATATAACCTTGATAAAAATTAGGTAGACAAAACAATAGACCAGTCAGATAAACCAGTCAGTTTAACACTATACAATTTGAAAGCACCACAAACCACTTCCTCTAAAATGATAAAATGAAAGTTGAATCAACACCTCTGTGAGACAGTTTCAACAAAAACAGAACACCATAGTCTTTTGCAGGCCTGTGGAATTAGACTGCATTGGTTTTAGCTGGGAATTACAAAACATGATCTAAAAAGAATCATACAATTGTATCTTCAGAAAAATAAGCAAAATGATATGAAAAACTTTTGTTTAACCTTTCTATTCATATATTGAAACAGTAAGAGTAGTGACTGGATCACCGCCACTGGAGCAAAGAACGCTGAAGTAGGAGGAACTACACATTCATTTTTTCCACTTTAATGATTTCCAATAGAGGTGATATTCCCAACAAAATTTGTAATGTATGTAAAAAAAAAACAACAATATAAAAGAAAGTAAAATACTACAGCAATAACACACACTACCTGTTTTTCAAGACTGTCTATGATCACCAGATCTGCTTCTCTGGCTCTGCAGTCCTCTCTGGCTTTTTCCCAAGAATCAGACTGAGTGGAGAGGAAATAACAGGTAAAAGTGAACATCCTCCATCCTGCAGGACACGTTTTCTCTGTAAGATATGTCAAACAAAAGATTTTAAAGATCAGAAAAGACGCATGTCCTTCGTGATAAGTTGTGGATTAAACACTTTCTGTGGGTGAAAATGTTTTCAGTGCATTAGCTCCTGAAGAACAGTAGGTATTATACAGTGGATAATAAATCCAAACACCTCTGATTAAGAATAAGTAGAATAAAAATAATCATATCATCAAAATCAGAAATAGAATTTTTAAATAATTAGTTTTTCCATTTTGTTGACCCTCTTCACTCTTCCTCATTTGAAGGGGCTGTAATGCTTAAAAGTCAAAGTACTTTCTAGCTGCTTCGTCTAATGATTCCTCACAGGTGTTTCTGTCATGCACATCAGAACAAAAAAATAAACAATAAAAAAAATAGTGTAACTTGGATGTCACTGTATAAAAAACTTGCATCATCATTAAGTAGATCACAGTCTTTACACTGTAGAACTGAGGATCCGTATCAGGCTTCATAGATATAAAGAGACAGCTGTGCAGAAACCACACCGGCAAACACTCACTCTGTTTGGACAAACTCTGAAGCCTCTTCAGCTCTTTAGTCATTTCAGTGAGACTGATATTCAGCTGGTCTCTCTCTTCAGTCAGGGAGGAGAGTTTGATGTCACTGGCCTGAAGACACTCAGTCAGGTTGGCTTCTCCAGCGGAGAGTTCTGCATTTGAATTTTTATGGTCTGAAATAAATCAAGAGACGCCTTAATGTTTATCAAGCCAAGTGAAGTGCATTTAATTTTTTATCATAACAGAAGTTATCAGGGCACTTTTCATATTGAGCAGGATCTACACTGTTGTCTTTAAAATATTATTTATAGAGACTCGACAATTTCCACCATTTCCACCTTTTCAGGGGCAGAGACCTCGAGCAGGACCAGGCTCAGGGTGGGTGAGAGAGAGAGAGAGAGAGAGAGAGAGAGAGAGAGAGAGAGAGAGAGAGGAAACGTAGCACAAAGCCAATTCACATATAGTACAAATGTAAAAAAAAAGTAATGGTACCCCCCTGTTAATTTTTTTTTTTTTTTTTTTTTTTTTAATATAAGACCTTGTCTTTTCCCCAGCAAATATATTGATATTAAATAATCAATATTCAACTTTTTCTATGACACTTTTCAATTAAAAAGCTGCTTTGAGTTTCAAAACAAACAAACAAAATAGAGAAAAAGCCTGAAACCAATTAAGAAAACATGAGGGGGGGGCAATAAAAGCATAAAGGCAGGGTAACACAATATAAATGACAAACTAAAGTACGCATCTTATTAAAATATGAGCAGAATAACGCTCCTAAAATCATCTGATTCCAGACTCACGGTGGACGCCGAGGCCGATGAGCCCAGCCAGCAGGAGAACACTCAGCAGACTCAGAGAGACAACAACAGCTCCATGAAACCTCCTCTCAGAGCTCCTGGGACCTGAACAGAGAAAAGACCAGTGAGCAAACACAGTAACAACAGATGATTACACAGATTTATTCTCAGCTCAGTCTCATTGTCTGAACATTTTTACCTGTCTGACTTGCTGAAGGTCTTGATTGGCCAGGTTTGCTGCATTCAACATTGGCATAGATGTTGTCCATCGCTCACATCGCTTTCTGAGAGAATGTGATTTCTGCAGCACAATTTCTCACCTTCAACTTTGGAGGAAGTCACCAGTTTCAGAGGGAGAGTTTCTTGGTTCCTTGTATTGTGTAGTTGTGTTGTTGATTGTGTTTTTTGATTGATTCTTTCTTTCTTTCTTTTGATCTACTTATGAATGACATTATTTATAAGAAAGTATATATATATATCGAAAAACAAAAAAACAAAAAATATACGTATATATAATTATTCTTACTTATAGTCTGATACTTCTTATAAATAATTGTGCATGAGCGATCAAGTAGATCAAAGAATAGTCGTAAGACTGAGAGAACATCACTCAAAAAAGCAAGCACAATCAGACAACACAACTACAACAATACAAGCGAACAAAAACCTTCCCTGTGAAACTGGTGGACTTCCT